TCTCTCTCTCTCTCTCTCTCTCTCTCTCTCTCTCTCTCTCTCTCTCTCTGTCTTTTACTAGGATTTCAGTTTCCTAAGAGTGGAGACGGGTCGATATTACATTGAAATGTCAAAGGAGGGATCGCAATTGCAAAGAGGGATTTGAGGGTGAAAAAAAGGGAGACATATGGTATTTCTCTCTAAAAGAATGGAATGTTGGTTCACATTTGCCCTAGGGTAGATGCTGCAAAGCGTATTATTTATAAAATCTAACAGTAAACTAGGCAATGTATACATCATAAAAGTAAAACCCATCCCTGTTCTAAAAATTTGTTCTCTGTTAGAAACAGAATAAACATATTTGGATGGATGGCTCCTTTATGATGCTTCCATTTGGTGAAAAAAGAAATTGTTTTTTTTGTCCCCAAAATATGAGCAACGATCATTAACATTCTCTCTGCTGCCATGGGTTGATAGGCACAGTATATTGACAGTGCTAGAAGCAGCGATGGTTTCTAAAAGAGGCTAGAGACAGAATGGGTGTGGATGCTGAGAGAGACCTTACTGGAGCTGCTATCTACATGTTTTGGCTGCCCAGTCGCATATGTAGACAATCCCCTACACTTATATCCAAAATGATAATGAATAAAATAATTTGAGATTTTTATGATAGGTGTTATAATATTTCATGTCTTTCCAAGCACAGGGTTTTGCTTTAGATAGAAATGTTTTTGAAAACAAGGCAATGCATTTGAAAGTGCTTTGAGTAAAAACGTGATATTTTAAAATATATTGAAGAACATTAAACTGCATGTTAAAAAAAATTTGGAAAATACTGAAAATAATAGATTTAAAAATCCTCATGTCTATAGAATTTTTTCATAGGGTGGTAGGCTTACCATGTGTGTAATTTTGTATCTTGTTCTTTTCACTTAGTATCACATGATAACATTTCCCCATATATTATATAGATCAACCTAACATCATTTAAAATGCAGCAAAATATTCCAGGCAACTGTGTATTAATGCACTTAATCATCCCTCTGCTTTGAAGTATTTAGGTTTTCATTTTTTTCAATATTATAAATAATGCTGCAATGAACATCTTGCACCTATAGCTTTTGTTTTTTTTAAGTTTAGAATTATTACCTTGGGGTGGAAACCGAGGAGTGGAATTACTAGGTTAAAAGGTATGAACATCTGATGCATGATTTTTCAAAAATATTATATCAGTTTACCCTGTCACCTCAGTGATTGTCAGAATTGACATTCTTATTTTTAAAAACATCACTGATAAGACAGGTGAAATGGTATTCCACTGTTCTTTTAATTTGCATTTTTGTTTACTAGTGAGATAAAAATCTTTCATATATATTTGCTGACAGATTTTCTTCTGTCTTTTTACGTCCTTTGCCTTATCTATTGGATTTAGTGTTTTTTCTTATTGTGTGTGAGTTGTTTATACAATAAAGTTATTAAAACTTTGTTAGATTGTTGCAAGATTTTTTTCCCAGTCTATTGATGAGAAACATCACATTTAAACTTGATTCTCTTTTATTTTGAAAGGTGTATAAATTTGGCACAGTGAGGTTTGTAGTGCAGTTTAGTAGGGAGCTATTGACACACACAAATGTCACCAAGATCACGTCTAACCTTTTAAACGATCTCATATATCTAAGCTGACATGCTCTTTTAAAGAGAGAACTAAGTTTGTTCTCAAATCAAGAAACTATGAGAGCATCTAAGCTTGTTACATTTTATGTAGCACTCTTAAACAATACTTTGTCAGACATTATTCTCTACTCTAGGGGGAAGCCCCTAGGACTAATCAATGTGTTAAAAAAGTGTGAAAATAACTTTTAAACAATTACAGTGAAAGATTAACAATGCTGATCATTTGTACTCAAAGTATATTATTTGGCTGCATCAAAATGGAATTAGAGATATAGTGAGATGTTTCATAGAGGAATTTTACTTTGTATGTTTCCTACGATGGGAGAGGATCGGGGAAATATTAGTACTTGTGAACAGGGAGAATATGTGGCTAAAAGAACATTATTTTCTTTACATAGGTTAACCAAATCTCCTCAGTTCTAAAAGTTGTTCCAACACTGAAGCTCTCTGGAGGAGACCATCATTACTGAACGACACCAGATGCTGCAGCTTGTCTGACATATATTTAAACTTTCATCTTCCTGGACAACATAATGATATAGAATAGTTGTTTAGTTTAGGTCAGGTTTCCATTGGCAAAATAAAGAGGAGGGGTGGTACAGACATCTAGATGGTTCAGGCAAAAAGTAGAGACTTGCATTTGGCATGAACTCACCAGATGTTTCCTTTAATGCTCTACTCTCCTTTGGTTATAGATTCCTGTCTCTTAATTACTTTTTTTTTTTTTAATTTAGGACAAGTTACTCTAGAAAGCTAAAGTTGTTTTCCAGATCCAATTATAATTTCTGTAAAGTTTGAGCTCTGAGCCAAGAGTCTCAAATACAGATTTTTGAAACAACAGATAAGAAGTAATAAAACCTACAATATTTTTTGTTTGCCAGTTTAGCTGAGGGGGAAAAACTCAAGCATTTCAGCTGGTATTTTACACCTAGATACTAAGGTAAATGGATAAACACAGCCACAGTACCCTTAGAACAGTTTCTTTCCAATGAAGGAATATGCCTTTAATGGTGTTTGCCTTTAAAAGGAATTTCCTGTGAATCCTGTTTTAAGAAAGCAGTTGTTTGACTGAGTTGAGTAGTCAGTAGTGATAAAAACTCATCTGCTTTTTTCCTCACATACGTGATCATCAGTATCCTAAACTACACTTGTACTAAAATCAAAATGGATAATAGAAGTGTGGATTTACTTAGCTTAAAAATTAAACTGTTGCATTAAATATGAACATTGTTCAAGAAAATAAAGCCTGAGAGGAAAAAGTAACCAGTATAAAAGCACTATTATTCTTGTCCAATATATAAATTGTCCTATAAGTATTAACTCTATACTCTTTGTGAGCTAACATCCAATTATGTTGATAAAAATGCAGTGCTACCCTTGATGTTCAAAAATGATGCTAGTGATGATGACTGCTTTCTCTGTGTTTGGACATAAATAAAATCATGCGCGATGAATGATGCTTCCTACACTATGCAGGAATAAGGGCTGCCCTGTGATTCGTGGCTGCGGCCACTGCTTGCAGATGATGGCTTTGCATCTCAGCTTCTTTACTTCTATGCTACTCAAAACCTCTGCTGGAGAAAACAACCATCAAATGCC